CCTCTGGACGGAGGACGTGCTCCCCTGGACCTGCGTCCTTGGGCCTGCGGGCAGAGGAGCGTCTTCCAAGGGCCAGCTCCAGAAACCAGACCAGACCCCCAGCGGCCTGGGGGGCGGGGGAAGGAAACCGGAAACTGGATGAATTTTAGGCCCAGAAACCGCCCATGGAGAGAGGCCCTCATCCATGGAGCCAAGGGGGATAGGCTGGCGGTGGATGCGAGGGGACGAGGCCCTCTGCTCCCCACAGGGGTGCCCTGAGATGAAGGCCGTCTCTGTCCCTGTTCCTGCAGTAATGGCCCCGCCTCCCCTCCCATTTGTCTCCCAGCTTGGCCTTCACCTACAGCCAGACGGGCCTGAGAGGTGTTCTCAGAAGTCTCATGGATGGTCTGGCCAACCTCAGGGAGAACATACGGATCTGGGGCTTCCTGACCCTCAGGAACAGGGTAAGATCTCGTGACCTCGACTTCTTCCCCTCCTGCACGTGGTGACACGCTCCCTGGGGCATGTCCTCTCGGGGCACCACAGACCCCACTGACTCCCTGTTGTCTTGTCTTGCCTGCTTCTCCTCTTCGCTACTCGTGCCCGGTCCCAGAGGCCTCTGGCTTTGAGGGCTCCATGCTCGAATTCAGGAGCGTGTTTGCCGGCGTCCCCGCCTGCCCTCGTGCTTCGTTGGGCAGACGTGACTGGTTCCTCCCTCCTCTGCCCAGCAGGCGCCTCCTCCCCCTGAGCACCTCTCCTCACCCCTCCTCCTTCCTCCGGGGCCCGAGTCCCCGGCAGACTGGCAGCCCGGGTGGCCTGGCTTCTCCTCCTCTGCCTTGTCCTCGGGGGCCTTTGCCCCACCCCACCTGTGCTCTCTTTCTGGCCACCTCGGCCCAGACCTGTCCCGTGCGGAGCGGGGCGCTCCTGTGTCCCCCACCTTCCCTGACTCGTTCTTCCCACCCCACCGTCCGCCACGCGGGGCTCATCCCCGTGTCCGCGGAGCCGGCGTAGGAGGCGTCGCGGCCTGGGCACCCCTGTTCCAGGCTGGAGGTCCTCACCTCTCTCCCCCTCCCCCTCTCCCTTCGTCCCACAGGTGTCCCCCAACTCGGGGCGCGGGCTGGCGCTGTCCCTGCTGCTGCTGGTGTTGCTGCTGGGCTGGGGGCTCCACCTCCTCCAGTGACTGTCCCCTGCTGCTCAGCACGGGGGCGGGGCTGGCCTCGCCCCCCCTGACCACCACCCTGGAGGTGGCCTCAGTTGGTTTTGTTGTCTTTTTAACTGTTTTCTGATGATCCCTTTTTTTTTTTATATTTAAACTCTGAGTGCTGGGACACTACTGAGGTTTCATACTAGTTTTTTCTTTTTCTTTTTGTAAGAGAAATGAATTCATTATACCTCTGGGGTCGTTACTGGGTAACTGCCCGCGCCAAGGCCTGGCTGGGCCTGCTCTCCGGGCCCCACACCGCGCAGTGGCCGGTCCTTCCTCTAGCAGGTCGGTCACACGGCGGGCAACGGGGGGAGTGCTGGCCGCACCCCCGTGTCTGTGATGCCCGCAGCGAAGAATCTGCTGGAATAGATTTGGGAGGGGTAGGAGAGCTCAATAAAATGTTGGTTTCCAGCTGGTCTCTGGTCCTCTCTGGGGTCTGCGGCATGGGCTCCTCTTGCCCCGTGCAGGAGAGTCAAGGTGGGTAAGGGGGGGGCAAGGGGAGCGGGCGGAGAAAGGGCGGGGCGGGCGCCCAGCCACCTGCGCGTGATCACACAGCCTGCAGGCTCTTTCCTGCACCTGCTGTCAGAGTTAGGCCCAACACGATCAGGTTTACTCCTCTGCCCTGCCTGGTGCCTGAAACCTACCGTTAGGGATTGTTTCCTTTGGGCTGTCAGTCTCTTATAATCGGGCTGCCTACCCTCCCTGTGTTTGGTCGTGTGGCTTGTGGGGCTACTCACATAGGTGCGGAGGCGGGGGAGAAGGGGCACCAGTGCCAGGCTTCCCGCCGTGCGGGCTCAGAGTGCCCCAGGCCTAGGCCTAGTGCTCTTTCTAGACCACCAGGCCCTCCTCCCAGAACTTGTGCTCTGACTCCCTGCACCTCCACCCACAGTCCCCGATCTCAGATGCCAACGCTGGGCTGGGGTGAGCCACTTGCCTCCAGCCCCTCAGCCCCCCATCTTCTCCAGCCTCCCCTTGCTGTCGTCCCCTCCAGGGCCTAGGCTTGGGGAGCCTTCCCTGCCCTCCATTCAACCCCAGAGCCGTGCAGCGCCCCACCCTCCAGCCAGGCTGGTCAGGTCCTGCCCATTCCAGCTGCCCCCTCCCAGCCACCACTGGGCCTCCCAGGCTGCAGCTCTCTAAGGTCTGGCCCCTCACAGACTCGAGGCCTGATTTCACCTCCTTCTCCTGTGTCAGTTGTCCCTTGGGGCTATGTCAGGCCCTCCCCAGGCTTCACAATGCAGGCCCAGAATCCCCCAGTTCCCAGGTCCTCGCTGGGAATGTTCCATCCTGACCCCTCGCTCCACCCAAAGAACACTCCATCCCCAGACAGGCACCACTGGGCTTGGAGACCTGGGAGTGACCCAGGGCTTGCCCTGTGTGGGTGCCCTGACGCTAAGGCCCTGGGGATCCACTGTACAATCGGTAGGTCAGGCCATGGCTAGACCCGTTCTAGGGGCACCTCTTGGTTTTTTGTTTTGTTTTTTTTTTTTTTTCATTTTTTTTAATGTTCTTACTTATTTTGGAGAGAGAGAGGGAGACACAGAATCCGAAACAGGCTCCAAGCTCCGAGCCGTCAGCCCAGAGCCCGACGCGGGGCTCGAACTCACGAACCGTGAGATCAGGCCTGAGCCAAAGTTGGACGCTTAACCGACTGACCACCCAGGTACCCCTGGAGGCACCTCTTCTAAGAAGTCTTCTGTGACCACCAGCTTGCTCTCCCCTAAACTGTGGGGACAGAATTGCCCACCCAACCACGTACCCAGCTTAGATGTTAGATGTGGCCAGGGGTGCCCGTGGCTTCTCCAGGAGTTTGGGGTTCTTCAGAGAGAGGAGGGAAAGGAAATGCTGTTTATGGAGCCCTCGGGTATAGCTGATGCAGTGGCTCCTCCCTGCGGGAATTTGGGGACCCCTTCCCCAGCGTTCTAGGGTTTGTGATATTCACACCCATGGACCTCGGAGGAGCCCCTACTGTGCTAGGCTTGGGCACAGGTCCTGGGGGTGTGAATACCTGGTCCCTCAAATCTCCCATTGTTTTTTGGGAGGAAAAAAAGCACACGCAGATGAGCTGAGACCTGCGGGCCGTGTTCTGAAGGCGGGAAAGGACTGAGAAAGTGGTGGGGCCGGGGTGGACGAGCCACGGAAGACCAGGCCCGTCTGGAGACGCTGGCTGTGGCGAAGATGAGAGGGGAAGGGTCACCCAGCTACTGGGAGCAGCACGTACAAAGGCCCCACCCAGGCCAGGGAGACTCTCCTGAGCACGAGGGAGGTGGCCGCGGCCAGTGTCTACTCTGTTCGTGCCAACCCCGGGGGCCTTGATGAGCTGGCCCCAGCGTCTGCGCCCCCACGCGAGGTGGTGGCCTCTCGACCTCCCGAGCCGACACGACTGCGGCCGTCTGGAGCCAGCACTTTACTTGTCTCCTCAAGAGAGCCCACCCTTCCAGGTGGGGAAACTGAGGCCCAGAGAAGGAGGGGGCTCGACCAAAGTGGCACTAGGATCTGCCAATCCCCGATCCAATTGGGGTCCTCTGACCACCAACGTGAGCCGGTCCGGGCAGTAAGACGCCGAGGTTGAGGCCCACAGACGGGGAAGGGGGCGCAGCCAAACCCAGTCTGGTTCATCCACGTGGCAACTTGCACGAGCTGCAGACAGACGCTGAGCAACAGTGTTACCGGAAGTCACTCTCCCAACAACCGCCAAAAGGCAGGACCGGAGGCCCGTCCCTCTCCGGCAGGGGGCAGACCGCGTGGTCGCCCAGGGGCCTCATGATTCCTGAAGCATCTCTGCGTGATGCCCCTGTCTCCTGGGCCTCTGCAGCAGGTCCCAGGGGACCACAGGGTCCCACTGCCACAGGGTGGACATGGACCCTGACCCCCTGGGGAGACAGGAAGTACTTTCCCAGAGGAGGGGATGAGGCTGTGGAGGCACGAGGGGCCCCCTCTTTGCGGTTTCAGAGGCTTTTGACCAAGGCCCTGGGTCCAGGCAGCATTTCTGCACGTGAGGCAGCAAGACCTGATTCTCTTAGAAGGTGCCCAGGGAAACCCAGTCCCGCCAGTCAGGGAAGCGGCCCCCGGCCCCCGGCGGACTGAGGGAGGCAAGCTGCCGGGAGGACCAATGGGCCAAGGGTCTCTGGTGGCGAGGGACCCGAACGTGGTGGCAGGTGGGATTCCTGCCTCGGGGTGGGCCGGCACCGTGGGACCAACTATGGCAGAGGGTATTTTCCTCGGGGTGGGGGGGGCCCCCCGCGAACCAACCCGCATCCTGCCCAGAAGCCGGACGCAATTTCCACCACCACCCAGACCCTGGGCTCCCCCATGACTCCCTGCACCTCGTGACTCACCCAGACTCCAAGTCTGCGGGAGCAGGGTGGGCGAGGGGCCGCCCGGCCCGGGTCTCCCCCAGTGGAGGTGAACACTGCCTGCTTTCATCTTTCTGTTTCCCCCCCCCCCACGGGGCAGAGATCTTGCCAGCTTTCTGGAACCTTCTTTAAGGTAGGACCATATGTCCCTTGACTGCTGTTCCATCCCTGTCCTCTGGCTTGGACCTGAGGACCCAAGGACCTGGGAGCACCATCCCAGACCCCCGAGGAAAAGGGCCGTGGCCCAGAGAGGCAGTGAGGCCTGCCGCGTGGGAAGTCTCGCTCCCGCTTCTCCAGGTCCCTCCTGTGGGACCGCGTTCCTCGGGGCCGAACGAAAGTCTGCGGCACCATTCCGCCTACCGCACGGCCAGAGAACGAAAGCCTGGCCTGGAGAGCCTGGTCTCCCAAGGCTGCCTGTGAGGGAAGCCCTCGGTGAAGAGGGTTCAAACGGACTTGGCAATTATTTAAAAATAATAGCAAGGTTCTTTGTGAATATTTGAAAATTTCCACAACAAAATTTTAAGAGAGAGTTACTTCGTCACTGAACTCCAAAGAGCGGTCACCTTCAGGCCAGGGTGAAAACCGGGTTCGTGGTCGTATCTGCAGGGGTTCTCTGGGGCTGCGGACACACGTGGGCGTGTGGGGGTCACGATGCCCGGAAGTGCTATGGGTGTGGAGCGGCCAGGAGCCGGGACGGCTGTCCACGTTGTGCGCCACAGTCCCCCATGATGCAGTCCAGTTCCGCCCAGAGGCCAGCGGGGCCCCTGTTGAGAAACACTGCTGAATTCAAAAGGAGAAACCTACCCAGGATTTGACATGTGCCCACACAACAGCAACATTTCCAGACAAACGCGGCGGTTTCTTACCAATGTTTTCCCGCTATCGCTGATCCATGAAAAAGCCACCGAGAAGCTTAGGATTATCCCTTAGTATCAGTGCAGGAGCTGCGTCCACAGAGAACCTGCACTTTGCTCCCGCTGTGGGGCCGGCGGCGAAGCTCGGTGAGGATCGCCCGTGCCAGGCTGGGTCACGGGCGCACAGTAGACCCCTGGCGATCACCGTGTGAAGGGACGCCTGGGGGTGGGGGAGGCAACAGGGCCCCTGGCCAGCCTCCCCAGACCCCTCCCGCCTCGCTAAGGACCCTCTTCCCCACCAGGGCAGGGGCCACTCGTTCACAGGCATACAGCAGACACTCAATGCTACCTGTTGGGTAAGCAAACAAACGTTGCCCCGTGGACAGAATGGCTGCCAAGGCCGACTGTGTCTCGAAGCCCTTTGCGTTCAGTGACGAAAGCGCGAAGGTTCTGGCGGTGGGTGTCCACGGGCTGCCTGGGCAGTGGAGGAGCCTGCGTGGCACCGGCCTGCCTCGTGGCCATGCCAGTATGCCCATGGCACCCACAGGGCAACAGGCCAAGCCTCCACAGTCCCTAGGCCCACCTGCCAGCCTGGCGGTGTCTGCCCACTTCACAGAGGCGCCCCGTGCCCCCAGGAGGGCTGGCGCGGGAGGAGCCAGACCCCGCCAAGACTTCCTGGCGTCTTTCCCCCCAGCACCGCACACGCCCCAGGGGGAGAAAAGGAGACGTGTACCCCGTCAGCTGGAGACATACTTTCAGCGCTTTTTATGCGGCATTCAAAGCACTTTGCAGACCACGACTCCCCATCACTCCGGGAGGAGGAAGCCTACAGAAGGGCCGGTCCGGCTCCCCCCACCTCCCGGCAGCCCCTCCCGGGGCCCCCTCTCCCTCCCTCCTGCAGGGCCGGGGCTAGGTCCCGTCGTCCTCCGGGTCCTCCAGAACCTCCACGTGCCCGTAGGACCTCCAGGCCTGCAGGTTGCAGCTCTTCAGGATGCTCCCCAGCTGCTTCCCCGGTCCTACTTCAAAAGTCTTGGGGAACTCCGTGCCCTTTTTCCTCCCGTAGACGGCGTGCATCGTCTGCTCCCACTTCACCGGGGAGACCACCTGCTGCACCAGCAGTTTCCGGATGTGTTTCGGGTGCCTGTATCTGTTCCCATCGACGTTTGAGTGGACGGAAACCAGAGGCTCCTTCATAGCAACCGACTTTAAAACTTGGGCCAGGGGCTCCAGAGCCGGCTCCATGAGGCGGGTGTGGAACCCACCGCTAACCGGCAGCATCTTGGTGCGCCTGAAGTGATACTTGGAGGAATTCTTCCGCAGGAACCGCAGGGCCTGGAAGGAAGGGAAAGGGAGTTTCAGCCAAGGCCGTCCTAGGGGGAGAGACACGGGGGGAGGCGGTCCCGCACGGAAGCTGCTACCCCTGCACGCCCACACCTGTCCGTCCCGCAAACGGCTGTGAAGGACAGGCTCCCTCCCCTCTTTGTTCCAGTTCAAACCAGCCATGCAGCTGGCACCCTGCGAGTCCCCCTCTGGGGCGCGGCCACTCGCACAGCCTACCGTGCAGGTGACCACCGCCGGGCTGGGAAGCGCGGTCCCTCCCAGCGCGCCTCCTACGCACCTTGGGGGCCCAGGGGAAGTCACTCAACCTCTCTGAACTGTTTGCATCCGTAAAACGAGCACAACTGCACCTGCTGCACCAGGCTGCTGGGAGGTGACCCGACGGGAGGTGTGAGAGGCTGGGACACACGGCTGGCTTTCAACGATCTGTCAGCCACCCTCCGAAATTGTTCGTGAGCCTCTTTCCTTATACTCCGTAAACCCCAAGAGAAAAATTCGGGAGGCTCCAAGCCTCGTTTCCTTCTATTGGAACCCCCTCTTCCGAGCTTTCTCTAGAGAAGAAAAGAGCTCTGTCTCCCAGAAGCCAAAAGCCTTCTCCTGAAGGGGGTCTCAGCTCAGAAGGGGCCTCCCTGGCTAACCCGCCCAAACTTGGGACTGTTTGCAAACAACGGCATTTGCAAATATTTAAAAAGTAGTAGATATTCTTAAGGGACCCTATACCCTCCGGACACAGCCCAGGTCCTGCCACCCCGACGGCCCTCCACTGGGATCTGCTGCGGGGCTTCCAGGGCACTAAACCGTCTGTCCGGCCCGGTCTCTCCAGGCTGTCCCCACCCGCAGCGGCTCAGAGGCTGGGCAGCCGTTCCCTAGAAGACCGAAGGGAAGCCTCGGTCACAGCAGCTGTATGACCTTGGGCAGTTTTGCCTTACCTCTCCGTGCCTCAGTTCCCTCTTCTGTGAAATGGGGATAATGACAATAGTTACCTCCCAGGCTACTAAGGAGAACTCTGCTTGGCACATAAGCCCTATATAAGGGTTAGCAGGGATTTTGTAGGCCAAGCCCATCCACGTCCACTGGAAAAAAGTATGTAACAGGATGGCTCTTTGTGTCCCCAAAGGGCAGGAAGGATTCGAGTTTGGCTGGATGGCACTCGTTCACCCATCCCTGGGGCCCTCCCGGCACGAGTGTACTTCGTCTGCCCGGGCATGGCCGACGCAGACTGTGGCTCGCCGCGTCTCGGTGTCCTGTGCCGGGAGCCCGTCAACTCAGCACAACTCAGCACGCTGTACCCGAAGTGTGAGCCACGTCTGCGGGAAGCAGTGAGGGGTCGGGCTGGCTGTCACTGCAGCAGAGTCCAGCCTGTCCTGACAGTTCACATCACCACCCCTCTCCCTCGTCCCCACGCCACTGAGGGGCACCCAGGAGCCCCCTCCGAACACAGGCCTTCCCACCGTGCCCGGACCGCCCGGGCAGCGGTGTCGACACGGATGGCTACTCTGTGGCACTTCCTGCATCATTCGGCATCCTTCCACGCGAGGTCTCTGGACTCATCCAGCTCAAGTCCGAGGTTAGGGCCACAGGACTCGAGGCCACGGCCTCGGTGCAGCGGGCTCTTCTGCGGCTGCCCTTGGCCCAGGCGCCGGTTTAGCAGAGGCCAAGGAGTTTTGTCACATCAGCCGTTGCGCAGGGACTGCCTGCTCAGGGAGACCCCGCCCTCGCCTGAGCTCTCTGCTGTGGCACTTCCGAACCCCCCACAGGGCCAAACCCGGGAGCCCGGGGAGTCGTCATCCTGTATACCCGACTGTCCGGGAGCTCCTGAGGGAGACACCGGCCCTGACTTGGAGCCCCTCCTGGCCCACTCCAGGCCCTGCCGAGGCTGTTAATGGGAATGAGCAAGCAGCTCCAAGATGAACGTGGGGCCACACTCACTGGTCTTCCCGTCATCTCAGAGCACAAGAGGGACCGTGGCTCTCACTGGTTCAGAGGAGATTCACAAAGACATCGGGCACATGGGCAAGGCCTCACAGGGATGATGGATTGAGCGCAGTCAAGTGGAGGAAGAAGGTTCCAGAATGAGACAGACCGGAGCTCCATTCCGCCTCCACCATCTCTAAGCACTGGCCGCTCTCTCTGCCTCAGCTTCCTCATGTGTAAAACATGCTTCTGTGGAGCAGAGACTGGCCGCAGGGCCAGGACGAGTCGGGGAGGCACAGGCCCGTCCCTGCAGCCCCTGGTGGGACCCTGTGCGGACCCACCTGGCATCCCCTGGGCCAGGCCCTTTCCTGTGGTGGCTCCCTGCCTCTCCGCTGAGACGCCCTCCCCCTGCAAACTTACCCTCCCAGCACCACTCCTGGTGGTGCCTCAGGCCCTCTGGCAGCCAGCCTGACCCTTGCTATGCCCCAAACCTGAGGCCACCTGTTCACGGCTTGTCAGTTTGTGTACCCTCAGTGCTCATTACAGAGGAGCTGCTCGGGAGATGTCTGGAAACACAGTGAATGGAAGGAAGGACAGGAGGAAAGAAAATGAACTCGGGACAAAAACAGACACCTAAGAAAAGACACAGCAGGAGGGAGCAACCTGGCAAGAATGGCTTCTCTGTCGCCAAGAAAGCAACCAGATCAGAGGTTGTGAGAATCGCAGAATTTACAGGAAGGCCCCGGATCATCTGGTCCAGCCCCTTACCTTCCACGAGGGCCAGGTGATCTGGTTATTTGCCCAAGGTCCTCATCTATGCGTGGCAGGGTGGGGACAGTAGCCCAGCCTCTCACCTCTTTCTGCAGTGCTACCCCTGACTCTGCCCCCTGCTGGCCCTCAAGTACTTCCCAAAGGCCACGGCTGGGCAGAGCGCCCATCACGCCACCGCGGGCTCACGAGTGTGGGTGGAACCTTCCGGGCTGGACTGGGGTCTATGAAGGCTGTTCCCATCAACACCAACCTCCAGGTGTCCTGAGATCACCCTGCAATCAGGAAAGAGGTAGCTGGCCACCTCACACACGGGGTTCTCTATGCCCAAAGTCTTGCAGTGCTCCCGGGCTTCCAAACAGGCGAAGGTGAACTTGGACTGAGGCTGGCCAAGGACAGACAGCATCCCACTGGGGACAGCTTCCGAGGCTTCCTGCATGGCCTCAGCTCGAATTTTCACCGCATGCAAACCTATCCGGAGAGAAGCGCATTTGGAACGATCAGGGCACATGATGGAGGGATGCCCAGACCCGAAAGACAAAGCACAAGTTCCACACTGCGGGCTGGAGACGCAGACGGTGGTATCTGTCACCAGTCCACAAGGCCACAGTTCCACTACATCTGTACCCATGACACAGGGGTGGTACTGCCATCACGAAAAGGGTGGGGGCGTCCTTGGCACCATAGAAATTAAAGCACGGAGCTCCCGGCCTTAAAGCCGGCTTGATGTACAATGGTGGTTCTTAACCAGGGGTGATGCTGCCTCAGGGCGGTGTCTGGAGACACTTATTGTCACAAGAGTGGAGTGTGGGGGGCTGTTGGGGGGGCATGTGCGCGTGCTACCGGCATCTGGCGGGTAGAAGCCAGAGATGCTGCTTGACATCTTACAGCGCACAGCCCCACCCCGAACATGGAATATCCGGCCCCAAACGTCAACAACAGTGCTGCTGTTGAGAAGCCCTGGTGCGAAGGAACAGACTTTGAGCTATACTGCTTTGGGCAAGTCATGACCTTCCGGGTCCAGTTTTTAGTAAAATCAGGATGAGAATATCTCATCTGCCTGGATTGTTGTGAAAACTGGGAATTAGTGTTGCAATAGTACAGGATTCTCATAAATCCGGCTTTGCTGCCCCCCCTTGGGGCTGGAGAACAAGGACACCGCCAAGGCAAACAAGCTGAAATGCAGAGCTCCCGGGTCAGTGCAGCTCCCGGGTCAAGTGCAAGGTGAGAGGACAGGCCAGGCAACTCCACTGACCGTGACGTAAGAAGGGCCTGTAACCACTGGACGTCCATCATCCTGGTCCTGGGTCTGCTCCCTGGCGGGTGGGGGGTGACCGGGCCAAGGAGAGGGTAAGGGACCAGTCCGGGGTTTGCTGGGACAACAGAGGTGTGAGGGGCACCCCCTGCACCCTTTCTCACGCACGTTCCTTCACTTGGCACATACGCTCATTTGTACTGGCTTGCCGGCCCCTTACACAGGTAAGGCTGCAGAGCGGATCCAGAGACGGCCTGAGGTAGGAGGTAGGAGAGAGTATTGCAAGTCCTCCCGTGCAGGCATTAAGTAACCATGCAAAACGTCAAGTGAAATAAAACCAGGAATACACATACGCTCTAATTCTGCAAATTATGTGCACATAAAACTACGTACGTATAAAATAGTTTTATTAGGATGTGTGAATATGCAACATTTCTTATCGCTTCCTTAATAGTGCCATAACGCTGCATCAAAGTAAAATGTAGTAAAAGTCAGTTTCAAGTGTATAATTCAGTGGTTTTTGTTGTTTCCATAAAACACCCCGTATCTGCTAAGTAATCTCTCCCCACTTCTCCTTTCCTCCACCTCCAGTAACCTGTCATCTGTTGTCTCTGTGGGTTTGCAAATTCTGGATATTTCATAGAAAAGGGGTCACACAACATGTGACCTTTTGTGCCCAACTTCTTCTACTGAGCATGCTTTTGAGGCTCATCCACGTTGCACCATGAATCAGCACTCTACTCCTCGTCATGGCTGAATAATATTCCATGACGTGGCCAGAGCACAACTTGTTCATCATCTGATGATGGACATACGGGTTGTTTCCACCCGTTGGCCACTGCGAATAATGAACACTTTTATGAACATCCGTGTACAGGTTTTTCTGTGTGGACACGTTTTCATTTCCCAGGTATATACCTATGGGTAGAATCACTGGGCCGCAGGGTAATTCTATTTGTAACTTCTTCAGGAACACTGCCAAACCGTCTTCCGCAGAGGCTGCACTGTTTTACAGTCTCACCAGCGATGTCTGAGGGTCCTATTTTTTCATTCTTGCCAACGCTCAGGATTACTACTATTATTATTATTATTTTAGTTAAAGCCATCCTAGTGGGTATGAGGTGGTATCTCAGTGTGGTTTTGATGTGCATTTCCCCAATGCTGAGTGATGTCGGAACATCTTTTCATGTGCCTGTTGGCCATGTGTATGTCTTCTTGAGAGAAATGTCTGTTCAAGTCCTCTGCCCATATTTAACTGTAAGTGAAACAGTTTATGAGCAAAACTCTTAGGAAGGAAAGGAAATACTTAGGAAATAAATACATATTTAAAAAAAAAAAAAAAAGAAGTGAAACTGATAGGTTCAAGATCAAACAGTCAGTTACCCTTTTTCATTCCGGGACTGTCTGCTGAACACCTATCACGTGACAGGCACTGTGGTGTGGGAGTGGACTGAGAACACCCAGGACAGGGTGCAGGGCAGGCAAGCAAGCAGAGTTCGGGAGATTCCAAAAAGAAAGAAAATCCCCAAGGAACCCTTCAGGCTTAAAAGGGAATCAAGGTGAAGTCTGGTCCTCGGGTTCCCATGCCGTTCTATGTGCTCCTCTATCACCCGAGTGGCTCTAGAATGGTTTCTGGCAGTGTCCTTTGTCCCCAGTTGAGCCCAGCAAGAGAATACCCCAGCACAAAACCAAACCCCTTCCTGGGTACCTTCAGAAAATTCCATGGCTCCGGCAAACACTAGGGCTGCAAATTCTCCCACACTGAATCCGGCAGCAGCAACACAGTTCTCAATAACCTGTGGTGACAGAGGCAGGACATGAGGCCAAGTTCTTGGCGGGGGGGGGGGGGGGCCGGGGTTCAGTCTGGGGCTCTGCACTTGAGAGCTGGCAGGGTGTGGAGAGGCTCCACAAGCCAGGAGCCGCTGGCCCGGTGCTCCAGCTAGAAGAGGGCACTCCTCCTACTGATGAGGACCTTTCCTGGCCAGGCAAGTTAAAGCCTGCTAGCTGGTTCTGTGGTGAGCTGGGACTCCAACCCAGGGCTCTGGAGTCTCTTGCCTCCACCCTGGAGATGCCCCTAAGGCCCGATGGAGCTGGAGGGAGCTAAGGAGAGAAGAACATGTCTCAGAGTCAGAGATGGATTTGATTCTTAGCCTGGGAGGGTTCCCTAACTTCTCTGAGCCTCAGTTATCCCGTCTGTGGAATGGGGACAGGGCAGAACCTACCTCACAGGACTACTGGGAAGGTTATGCAAAGATCATGTCTCTGAGGTGCTGAAGCACAGACCTGGCCCAGGGTGAGCAGTTGTTACCGCCACGACTCAACAGGACCACTCGACTAAGTCTGTTAGTGTCTCTGAGTCACCTTCTCTCATCCACAAAGTAACTGTATTTACCTCACCAGGTTGTGAGCACGGAGTAAAGGCTGTAAAGTAGGGCTTCACATTTACTGTTCCGATATCATTAAATATTAACAGCAGTCAATTCACACCTTCAAGTGAAGTGACATTCTCACACATCCTCCTCCTCATGATCCTTCATTTAAGGTTGAAGTTTAATCCTTCTAAAATAATTTAGTGATGGGGCGCCTGGGTGGCTCAGGAGGTTAAGCTGCTGACTTCCGCTCAGGTCATGATCTCACAGTTTCGTGGGTCCAAGCCCCGCATCGGGCTCTTTGCTAACACCTCAGAGCCTAGAGCCTGCTTCGGATTCTGCTTCCTTCTCTCTCTGTCCCTCCCCCGCTCATGCTCTGTCTCTATCTCTCAAAAATAAATAATAATAAAAAAAAAAAGTTAAAAAAGCTTTAAAATAATTTGGTAGTCAACAAGTGACTAGGGTTATTTAAAATTGCAGCCCAGGGGCGCCTGGGTGGCGCAGTCGGTTAAGCGTCCGACTTCAGCCAGGTCACGATCTCGCGGTCTGTGAGTTCGAGCCCCGCGTCAGGCTCTGGGCTGATGGCTCGGAGCCTGGAGCCTGTTTCCGATTCTGTGTCTCCCTCTCTCTCTGCCCCTCCCCCGTTCATGCTCTGTCTCTCTCTGTCCCACAAATAAATAAATGTTGAAAAAAAAATAAAATAAAATTGCAGCCCAGCCCTCGACTTCCCAACCCCTTTCCCTGCTCTATTTTCCTTTCTGGTACACCCTATGTAACATGCTATGTCATTGACACAAATAGTTCTTCATTATCTATCTCCCTTCCCCGAACACGCAGGCTCCCCTAGGGCACGGATCCCTGTTTTGTTCAGGGCTGTATCCCCAGCGCCTAGAACAGCGCCTGGCGCCGAGGGGGAACTCGGTGAGAATGTGCCCCGTGCATCATACGTGGGAGCACTGGGGCCTGGCAGGTGCGTCCTGGCCTGGCTGGCGGAGCTCGCGCAGGGCAGGGCCTCACCGCGGGCTGCAGGTGATGCAGTTTCTCGACGGCGGCCAGCGAAGCCACGAAGACAGCGGGCTGGCAGTGCACGGTGCGGTCCAGGGCCTCCTGCGGCCCGTGCAGGCTCAGCTCCAGCAGGTCGTAGCCCAGCACGCTGCGGGCGGCGGCGTAGAGCTCGCGGACGCGCGGGTAGCCGAGCAGCCCCCGGCCCATGCCCACCACCTGGCTACCCTGGCCCGGGAAGAGCAGCACCGAGCACTGGCCCGGCGGCCGCCGCCGCGCCGCCGCCTCCCGGGGCCCTTCCTCCGCGGCCGTGGCATCTCGCAGCAGCTCCGCCACGTTCACGGCGCCCGGCGGAGGCAGCGGGAAGTTCGAAGCGCCCCGGCGGCAGCCCGCGCCCCAGTCCCGGGCCCACGCAGCCCGCGCGACCCGCACGCTCATGGCGAGGCCGCTGCCCCCGGTGCGTTACCGTGGCGACCGAGGCGCAGTGAGGGCGGCGCGGCGCGGCGCGGTCCTTGTCGCATTTCCCGCCGGGCAAGCCGGGTCTTCCGGGGGGCGGGAAGCAAGGTTCCGCGGCTACTGGTTCCGCCCCGGCTCCGCGAGCCTGTGCGGCTGCGCGCCGGGGCCTGGGGTGACCCAGGCGCTCGCGGGAACCCGCGCCGGAGCGAGTAAGGGTGGGCACCGCACAGCCGTCGGCCGGCGCAAGTAGTTATTGAAGGAACGGCGAACGCGCTGTAATACTCACTCTTTCTACCTAGCTCGTGAAGGGCGGTTAAGACGCTTCCACGTTGTTCCTCCTGCCTGATTTCTCAGCAGCTCTGTGCGGTAAGCCAGAGAACAGCTCTCTCGAAGAATCTTGTCTACAAGCCAAACAGGCACCTGTAAGCATCCAATAAGTATCTGTTCCATTGAACAAAGCCCTGGATGTTTTTCAGACCTTAGCTTATTTTGTATGTATGTATATATGCATGTATTTAATTAATTGATTGATTAATTTTTTTTCTAAACGTTTATTTATTATTGAGACAGAGAAACAGAGCATGAGCATGGGAGGGGCAGAGGGAGGAGGAGACACAGAATCCGAAGCAGGCTCCAGTCTCGGAGCTGCCAGCACAGAGCCCGACGCGCTGCTCTAACTCACAAACCCAGGGAGATCATGACCTGAGCCGAAGTCAGAAAGTTAACCGACTGAGCCACCCAGGCGCCCCTTAATTTATTTTTAAAGTAGGCTCCATGCCCGATGTAGGGCTTGAACTCATGACCCTGAGATCAAGAGTCGCTTGCTCTACTGACTGAGCCAACAAGGCACCCCGTGCCATTATTGGCTGATTCAATTCCTCAGGCAACGAAGTGATGGATAGGTGCTATTATTATCCTCAATTTACAGGTGAGTGGGCAAAGGCACAAAGACTGAATGATAGGTGGTTGGAGACAGAAGGGGCATTCGAAGTGGGGGTTATAGGTTTCTGAGCAGTAGTGTGAGGCTGCTCAGGGAGAGTGTAACTCTGACCTCACCCCACTTACCCTCTGCTCTTCTCTCATTTCCTGCCAGCCCAGGAGACAGACACACACACACACACACACACACACACACACACACACACACACCATAATGAGAAAGATTCAGATAGAATTACATCAGCAAATCTACTTCAGTGCGTTGGTCCTAAGAATCACATGTGCAAAGCCCTAACTCTCAGAACATCCAGTGCAGCCTTGCTTTTAACAAGGAAAAAGTGGAAATAAGCCATATATTCGACCAGAGGAGATTCCTTAAATGGGTTATGGCAGATCTATATGACCCTGTGGTCATCAAAGATGTGGAGGTTTTCAGGTTAAGACATGAATAGAGCACACGCTGCCTCCAGAAGCCTATAAATCCACAGTAAAGGAATCTTTTAAAGACGTAAATCCGCAAGGACAGGGAGAACAAGAAAGAGGGCCCTTGCAACAGAACTTCTGGAAGCTGAAAAGAAGGAAGACCAGTATTACCTGACTTCGTAAACTCCGGATAGCCAAATCCCTCCTGACAGTGGGGAAAGGTGACCAAGTCCTATTTATCAGCAGACTCCTCAAAAGTTTAGGAACTGGCAGCTTATAGACCTAGGGGTGAAAGAAGGTTAAAATAAAGAGGTATCTTGAAGGTATCTTTGAAGAACAGATCTTTATTTCTTTAAAAAAAATTTTTTTTAGTTTTTTTACTTATTGTTGAGAGAAAGAGAGAGAGAGAGAGAGAGAGCGCGCGCGCGCGCAGGGGAGGGGCAGAGAGAAAGAGAGACACAGAATCCAAAGCAGGCTCCAGGCTCTGAGCTGTCAGTACAGAGCCCGACACAGGGCTCAAACTCCACAGATCATGACCTGAGCCAAAGTCAGACACTTAACCGACTGAGCCATCCAGGCACCCCAATCTTTGTTTATTTATTTATTTTATTAATGTTTATTTTGGAGAGCGTGAGGGGGGAGTGGCAGAGAGAGGGTGGTGGGGACAGAGGATCGGAAGCAGGCTCTGTGTTGACAGCAGAGAGCGCGACGTGGGGCTCGAACTCACAAACCGTGAGATCATGACCTGAGCTGAAAGCAAGAGTAGGATGCTTAACCAACTGAGCCATCTGGGTGCCCCAAACAGTTAGATCTTTAGGCCCCTCTCTCTCAAGCCACTGAGTGGAACCCCTCCCTCATCTGGCAAACATCTGGGGTTTAGCTCTGGAAAGGACTGGACAGGGACAATGGTGAATGTGGGTACTCTGCTAAAGTGGGTAGGCCGAATGCAGAGATCTCCAGTGCTCTCCCCCACTAAGCTCCCAGAAACCTGGAGCCAGGCCCCTACCCTCCACGGAAGGGACTGAAGGGTCGTGGGGAATCTGACCAGTTCAAGAGGAAATCTGAAAGATATTGACAATCCAGGAAGTTCCCAGACAAATGGCCCGACAAGTTCCAACTCACAGTGATGTTAAACCAACAAATACTATCCTCACACGTGTTTTCTTTCCTCATAATCATGAGCAGCCAGCCCAAAATTCCCAAGCATCTGAGGAAAGCCTCTTACAAACAGAACACACACACACACACACACACACACACACACACACACACACACCCCACAATGCGTGGGATTCAGAGACTATGGTAAGAGAAGAAAATAATTGTTTTAAGAAAACTATCACAGATAGTTGAGAGGTAAGAGAAGATGCTGTATCCATGAACAAAATCAACAAAAAATTGTGTATAAAAAAACATTTAGAAAACAAATAAGAATCTCTTGGAAATTAAAAAGAGGACAGCAGGAATGGAACGCTCCATAGAAGGCCAGGAGGAGAAAGTTGAGGAAACCTCACAGCAGGTAAAATACAACAATCCTGAAATCCGAAAATCAAACCAAAACCAAAAGCCCTTGAGAAGTGGAAGAGAAAAGGAAGTTATGGGACCAGCCTGGGAGGTCGAGGATTCTGAGCGACAAGGGTTTCAGAAAGCGAAGTGAGAAAATGGAGGGAAGGAAATCATCCCAAAGAAAGGGTATGAGTTTCCCATAGGGGAGGGCCCCCTGAGCACAGGCACAATGGATGAAATTAGACCCCCATAGAGGACTATCCGTGTGACAGTCCAGACCTCTAGGGACAAAAGTCTTAAAATCTTCCAGGAAGAACAAAATAGGTCACATGCAAAGGCTCCAATCTCTGAATGACTCCAGCCTGCTCATCAGCCTGGCGTCAGCAGGAAGACTGAATGTCTTCAGGATCTGGATGGATAACGGTCTCCAACTTTGAGTTCTTCCTCAGCCAAGCATCAGTCAACCATGAGATAGAAGGCAAGATTTCTTTTTTTGAAAAAATATTTGTTTAATGTTTTTTATTTTATTTTTGAGAGACAGAGACAGAGCATGAGCAGGGGAGGGGTAGAGAGAGAGAGAGGGAGACACAGAATCCGAAGCAGGCTCCAGGCTCCGAGCTGTCAGCACAGAGCCCGACATGGGCCTCGAACCCATGAGCTGTGAGATCATGACTTGAGCCAAAGTTGGACGCTTAATTGACTGAGCCACCCAGACACCCCTGGATTTCTTTTCTTTCTTTCTTTCTTTCTTTTTTTTTTTTTTTTTGAGTTTATTTATCTTGAGAGAGACAGAGACAGTGTGAGAAGGGGAGGGGCAGAGAGAGGGAGAGAGAGAGAAAATCCCAAGCAGGCTCTACACCGTCAGCATGGAGCCTGATGCGGGGCTCGAACTCAGGAAACCGTGAGATCATGACCTGAGCAGAAACCAAGAGTTGGACCGTTAGCCGACCGAGCCACTCAGGCGCCCCTAGAATGCACGATTTCAAAATGGCCCTTCCTACACAGTCTTTCTCAAGAACCCCTGGAGGATGGGCTCAGCACAAACATGGGTGGAACCAACTAGGAAATGAGGAGCCGGCCAGCAGAAGGGGTCGAGGGCATCCCCGAGGTGATGGCGAAGAGAGACCCGGAATGATGTGTGCCCCACGCCTATGAGGGCTGCCATCACCAAGACCCTAGCAGTGGCTCTACTGCCTCCTTGGGAACAGAATCCCCACTGAGCCCGGCCCAGATTCTTGTCTGCACTTGGCCGATCTGGATCACAGGGTGGTGAGACCCTCTTGTCCCCTCCATTCCCTGCTGCCTGGTTCAGCTGCCTGTTCCCCCCTCTCAGAAGTGTGCACCCCTACTCCCGAGAGCTGAATACAGGTCTGGTGAGCTCACAAGCAACGAGGCAGAAAAGCCCAAGTCTCTGCCCATTTCCTGCGAAATGCCCATGTCCCAGCCACAGACGTGCCGGCAGGGGAGCCTCACCCCCAACCTTACCCTCTGCCCCTTCAGGGGCTCTTGCCAATGTTTGTCAGAGGCCCGATCCAGTCTTCCTTTCCTAGGGGTCTTCCTCTGGTCTGACCGTCATGCCCACTCTCTCCAGCCAGTTTTGTGCTGCCCCACTGTTCAAAGCTAATCAATAGAGTGCTCAGGGAGTCATAGCTGGGTGGTATTAACGGAACTCTAAAGGAAAGCACGGCCATGTTTAACACACAAGTCCAGTTAGAGGTGATCTTGGGGTGGCAGGGAGGAATCAGAATACCAGGAGGCCCCTGGGGTGCTGGCAATCTTCTATTCCTTGACCTGGGGAGTGGACACACTTTTTATTTATTTTTATTTTTATTTTAAAGCGTACACAGCATTTTATATATATTTCTGTTTGTAGGGAACACTTCACAATTAAGTAAAAACACGGTAGGCAAACGTTTGCTAGCGTAGAAAGAGGCTTCTGGTTTTTTGTAAGGGGAAGGAAGAAAAATTATAAAACCATTTACAGCGTGAAGGCATTCTTTTTTTTAAAAAATTTTTTTTTAACATTTATTTTTGAGACAGAGCATGAACGGGGGAGGGGCAGAGAGAGAGGGAGACACAGAATCGGAAGCAGGCTCCAGGCTCCGAGCCATCAGCCCAGAGCCTGACGCGGGGCTCGAACTCACAGACAGCGAGATCGTGACCTGAGCCGAAGTCGGCCGGTCAACCGA